TATCGGTCCGGTTCGATTTCGTTTAAATGCTTGGTAATTGCTCATCTTTTCGAGTTGTGCTTAACCTAGGGTTTGGATACTTGATCTCCATCTTAATCTAATTAATCAATTTAGAAACTGAAAGGGGATAAATTGTTCGATCTAGGCTCGTTAAGAATAGGCTTGTTCGGTAACGTATTGCCTATGTGCTAATTGATTCGTTAATGATTTATTTATGTTTATTCTCTTGTTTCGTGAGATATTGAGAATGAATCTCTGGATGAGTTAGTTTATTGAGTCCTTTAGCCGAGTAATTCATTGCTTGCTAAATGCATTAAGAACCGGAAGTGAAATCCCCGATACCCTAGCGCTTTTATAATAATTGTTCTTCGTCCTTGCTTACTACTTTCTCTGCTTTATTTAATTATTTATAGTAGTTGATAACTAAAAACCCATCCAATTATTTGATTTAGAATGTTTAGGAATTTTATTTCTTTTATTTCTTCTAATTGTGTTTAGTAAACGTGCTTAATAATCCGGCTAACCTTCCTTGCGATACGACCCGGTGTCGAATCTTTCGATTCTACTCCGGTAAAAATACTTACAACAATCTGTCTCTGATGGCTGAGAAGGAAGGATTGCAGAAAAACTTGAACGACGATTTCAGGGCAACGTGGACCGACAAGCGACCTCCGCCGATCCCCAGCGTCAGACCACCGCTCCAGGTGTTGGGATTTCCACCGTTCGGGATGCACGCGCCGGCTGGAGGGCGTGCGTGAGAAAAAACGCCTGTTACCCCACCTGGAGTCAAGATCCCAGTTCTCACCCAGGGGGAGGCCAGTCACGTGAAGGACACGAGCGGAGAAGCAGATGGTCACGCATCGACCGAAACATCTTTGAGACTGGGGAGGCAGCCTGAACGACTTGATCAGGAGGATACACGCGAGCATGCGTCGACGTCCCCTCAGCCACTGAAGAAATCAAGTCGGGAGGACTCACTCGAGGATTACTCCCGGGATTGTGCAGGAACTCCTTAGCGAGACGACCCGGGAGGACGTTCGATGAAGTATTAGGAAGTTGCGCCAAGTACATGAATGTCGAGGAAGCTGAAGCCGACTTTTTGCAGGCAGCTAA